CTCTTCCCAAATGCATTCAGGCCAACAGCATCTGACTCAGCCCCAAGTGAACAAGCACACAGCTCTCCCAGTGTCAGTGGCTGCAAACTTGGGCCTCTCTACTCCAAACGGCATTTCCCTGCCTTCGCTTTCCTCTAGTGTTATTTGGAAGACAGTTCCCAAACTGGGAGATCCGTCCACCCACAGATGAAGAAACTGAGGCCCAGACAAGTGTTAGGTTTGCTACCCAGGATCACAGAGCTGGTGAGAGTGAGCCACAGCATCACGCAGATAGCAAATCTACTTTCTCAAAGCAGATGAACTATGGCTCTTAGGTAGTAAAGAGAGGTCAGGCTTTTGCCTTCTGTCTCAGGAGGTAATCCCTAGGGCCCTGGAATATCCTGCCTCACAGAGTGTCTCTGTTTGCCTGGGGGCTTTGGAACTGGACAATGATTTATGATAAGGGCTTTGGGAAGCATCACATAAGTACTGACCCCTGGAGGAACTAGAGACTATAGGTGTTAGCCCGAAGCCCCATGGGGGGGCTGGACACTAAAGTCAGCCATGCAGGCCGTGTGTGATTGAGCCCAAATTAAAACTCTGGACAACAAATTTTGCGTAAACTTTCCCGGTTGGCCACGCTACCACCAACTCACAGATGAATGGAAGGAGGTAACACCATCCATGACTCCAGGGGGAGTGGATGAGCAGAAGCTTCACATTTGGACCCCTTCCAGACCTTCTTTTGTGTGGTTCTGATTTGTATCCTTTTGCTATAATACAACTATAATTGTAAGCACAGCACTTCTATGAGTTCTGTGAGCTATTCTGGTAAATTATTGGACCCAACGGTGCTGGGAACCCCTGAATTTTTATCTAGCTGGGCAGAGTGAGGGTGACCTGAAACCCCCAAACTTGCAGCTGGCGTCCAAAGGGCAAGCAGTCTTATGAAGCACTGTCCCTTAGCCTGTGAAGTGTGCCCTAACTCTGGGTATTGTCAGAAGCCAAAGCAGATCCTTGCTCCACCATCACCTGAATTATAGCATAGCCACTGCAACAGAAATCCTTAGAGCAGGGTGTTCAAGTCTTTGCCACCTGAACAGCTGGGAGAAGGATCCTAAAGAACACAGGTCCTGCTCCAGTGCCCGTGCACCTGCAGGGATGGATGAGGGGGAAGTGACAGTGGGAGACAGGAAGGCTGGGTCACTGAAGCAGTTTCCAGACTTGTGAAGCTCAGGCAACAAGACCAGTCCCTTCTTTCTCATCTCACTAGAGTCCCGGGAGGAAGGACAAAGGGCAAGGGAGTGTGTCTGAAAACCCACCCAATACTCTCTAACGTAATGCCAGGCAAGGAAACGCCTCCTATCTATTATCTATTGGCCAGTGAGCTCCACTTGGGGTCAAACGGAAGCATTTTCTGCTAAGCAACAACTCATCATCATCCAAGTATCCCCTTCCAAAGGAGCTTAACTGCATCTAATTAAGTATTTAGATCTAACTTCCGATTTACAGAAAGTCCAGTTGAAGGACTCAGTGTAATTAGACCATGAGGGAGCAATTAGACAAATCTACAAGGTGTCTATCAGGAAATGAGGTTGCTCTTTTCACCAAGTCAATGGCATGAAAAAATAATGGGGGCAGGAGGAGAACTATGGTAGAACAAGAAAAAAAAAAAAGAATAGTCATGACAAAATGCAACCAGTGTTCCTTGATTTACATAAATCTGTGGGTAAGGACATGTTTGTAACAGAGAAATTTGAATGTGGACCTGTTTAACTTTAGATGATATGAAATTATTATTAACTATTTAGTTGTGATAATGATCCTGGTACAAAAAAATAAAGCGTTTTTTATTTTCCAGAGATATATACGGAAATATTTAGAGGCAAAATGTCATGAAGTCTGTATTTACCTTGAAATACTTGAAGTCTGTATTTACCCTTGAAAGGCTTCAGTGTTTTTGCTTTATAGTTTTCACTTCAGAATCATGTAAATGTTTTATGTAATTATAAAACAAAATTAAAATTAAAATTTTTAAACCACTAAAATCCAAAATAAAATAAATGAACCTAACTGTTAGGTTAGACTGGCACAAAAGACGCAGAAATAGATTCTTTTAATTGACTTTTAAAACTCAATATTTTGCCTGTACATCTAAAGGACAAAAAGAATAACAAACTTTAAAGTGAACTCAGTTTTGCTATTAATAATATTGGTAGTTATTTTAAAGCATTAACAAAACTACTTATGTGTTTTATCCATTATATATGTTTACTCATTTATATTTATACTTTTTACATACACAGTATAAAGCAAATAATTGTGATAATGTCACCAGGAACAAAGATTTTCAGCATAAGAAAAAATGGGGTACAAATATAAAAACCAGAGAAGTAAAAATCCTATAATCTTAAAAATGAACTGGAAATTATCAGTATGAACTCATGTTTCATTGTTTTTCTTAAAAAAAGTTCTTTTTCTTTGCCTGTTAGCACTCTTAATGACTAGATTGATGGTCTCTAAGTACCATCTTCCAGTAAAATGAACCAGGACTTTTTGGTGAAATGGTTGACTCTAGGGATCAGGAGAAAACGTACAAGGGAGCCTGACATCATTTTTTTTTTTTTTTTTAAGATTTTATTTTTAGTAATCTCTGCAGCCAACATGGGGCTTGAACTTACAACCCTGAGATCAAGAGTCACACACTCCACCAACTAAGCCAGCCAGGAGCCCTGAGAGCCTGATGTCTTGGATAAGGAAACTATCAAAGACAACTGGGGTCATGTCAAAGGACACAGGAGCCAATACAAAGGGCTCCCAATGGCCAAAAACAGGACCATTTGAGCCCCAAAGAAAAACTGCAATGTAAGTAAACAGACAAGATATTTAAAATCTACTAGTTTGGAATGATACTGAAAATAACACTTTATCCTGGGAGGTTGCTAGGGCATCAACTCATTGCTTTGAAAATCGGTAAATAAAGACAACAAATCAAGCTTTGTATCTAGTTTCCCCACATAAATTGTATTTTAGGGTAACTAAATAATTCCAGCAATAAATGTGGAAGGAATAACAGAATTAGAAAATAACTGCTTTTCAACCACAAATAAAACCATGATGTGAAATGAGAATTTATAATGGATGGACCCACTGGTAATCTGAACATCACATGAAGAGAGACCAACAAGCATTAAGGGCATGGCATCATGGATGAAACATTTTTGCCAAAACATTAAATCTGAACCTGATCAAGCTTTTAGATCTAAATAGAGATTTACATGAAATATTGGGGACAGAGGAACGTCATGATATACAACCAGCTAATCCCAGACTGAGGAAAATTCTGCAGGGGAGCAATGTTTTCTTTAACAAGTAAATGCCAAGAAAACAAAAAGAATAAGAGAAAACCGTTAATGATTAGGAGACTTGAGACACATATAACCCAATGCCATGTGTGAGCCTTGTTTGGAACCTGAGTAAAAATAAACCAACTAAAAAAGAGAATTTGTAAGACAGACATGGAATTGGAATACTGGTAATATTAGATATTAAAAGAATTATTCATTTATCAAGTATGATAAGAACGATAGTTTAGAGGCACATCTTAAATCAGTGACAAGTGAAATAATTTGCTACCTAGGATATGCTTTCAATAACCAAGTGGGGGCAGGATGAAGGACAAGGTAAAAGAGGACTAGCCATATAGGAACATCTGTATAAGCTGGGTGATAGATCCATAGGAAATTATTATATTATAATACTCTTTCTCATTTTGTCTATGTTTGTAAATATTCAGAACTCAAAATTTTTTTAAAGTGCTTCGGTTAAAAAAATAGAAGAACTGGGGCACCTGGGTGGCTCAGTTGGTTAAGTGTCTGACTTGGGCTCAGGTTATGATCTCACAGCTTGTGAGTTTGAGCCCTGCGTTGGACTCTGGTGCTGACAGTTCAGAGCCCTGGAGCCTGTTTTAGACTCTGGGTCTCCCTCTCTCTCTGTCCCTCCCCTGTTCATATTCTCTCTCTGTCCCTCTCTCTATCTCTCTCTGTCTCTCAAAAATGAATATATATAGGGGGCGCCTGGGTGGCTCAGTCAGTTAAGCGTCAACTTTGGCTCAGGCCATGATCTCATGGTTGGTGAGTTCATGCCCCACATCGGGCTCTGTGCTGTCAGCTCAGAGCCTGGAGCCTGCTTCAGATTCTGTGTCTCCCTCTCTCTCTCTGCCCCTCCCCTGCTCATCCTCTGAATCTCTCTGCCTCTCAAAACTAAATAAATGTTAAAAAAATATTTTTAATTAAAAAAATATACATAAAATTCTAAAGAGATGAAGGCAAATATGACAAAATGTTAACAACTGTCAAGTTCTAAGTGATGGGAACATGGATGCTTACGTTCTCCATATGTTTGAAAATGTTCATAATAGTAAATAAACAAAATGGTAAAAGCACTTCAACCCAGCAAAGACACAGAATTGGCTAAAAGGTTGAAAGGATTTTGAAATGGAGCCACAGACACTTAAGGCTGGTGTTTGCCAGTGATGCCCTCGGAAGATTAAAAGTCGATGACAAAGTATACTAAAACAAGTTCAAATGTGAACTACTCAGTTATTAAGGAAAAGAAAAAGAGGGACGTAGGGACTCCAGTTGACAAAATAGTGAAACACGCTTATTGTACCTACAACATAAAGGGTCTCCAATACCGGGGGAAGGCAGTCAAATGGGAGGGGAGATATTTTATGATGTTAGCTCAGAGCCCAGTGACAATCAGAGAGAGGTCAGGCTAGAACCACGTGCCCTAAAGCCTTAACGCCTTAAGCAACCGAAGTATGAACCACAATCCCCTGAAAACACAAAGCTTTTTATGATGTGGAGTTATAAAATAACCCAAGACAAAGCAGATCACCTGCTGGTTACCCAGGTACCTAAACCAGCCTCTGACCCCAGCAGCTATTGAAAAGGCACTGTTCCTTGACAGAATGCTAACTTCGGCATGGTCTCACGCCCTCATAAGGTTCTTTCCCGTACCTGATGATGACACACTGGTTCTCTCTGTCAATGATCATGTTTCTGTACATATTATCTGCGAGAGCATAGATATGTGGTGGGTTTTCATACTGAGCCTAGAGAAGCAAAAACAAAACGGAAACAAAACCATGGTCAGATAGAGCAACAAATTAGCGTTTCTTTTCCCGGTCTCAGAAATGAATTCGCCACTGTAAAGTTCCAGTCTTAAGGGTTGCGTAACACAAGAATTCCTAAGCTTGCCTAGGTCATCAGGAGTTACACCTAACAAAACGGAGATGGGCTTGGGAAGGACTCTTCTGTCTCCAAAGTGTGTGACTCAGCCTTCAGAAGTGAACCACATCTTCAGATGCTCCAGCACCACACCCTTCCACCTGACACGCCTCTGCAGACAACCTTCCATTTCTAAATGTTTCTGAAGACACCTGGGCCACAGGTCTCAAGAGAGGCCTACTAAAAACCTGGATCTGACTTTTACTAGAATTCTAAATCCCTACATAATTTTTTTTCTAAGAGGTAAGGCAGAGACTCTGGAACCCTAGACGAAATTAAGTGAAACTATCTCTGAATGAGGAGAGAACCTAACATTTCCCATGAGAGGGCAAGAGGTATAGTCCTTTAAAGGGATGAACCGGTTTGACCAGTCTGTTTCATCTCAATGGATGAAAAAAATCCTACCACATCTCCATATTTCCTCCCCGGGGTACTCTGCTTTCCTCTCATGGGCTAGCTTAGCTATGCAGAAATACAAATTCACCGGGGCGCCTGGGTGGCGCAGTCGGTTAAGCGTCCGACTTCAGCCAGGTCACGATCTCGCGGTCCGTGAGTTCGAGCCCCGCGTCGGGCTCTGGGCTGATGGCTCAGAGCCTGGAGCCTGTTTCCGATTCTGTGTCTCCCTCTCTCTCTGCCCCTCCCCCGTTCATGCTCTGTCTCTCTCTGTCCCAAAAATAAATAAACGTTGAAAAAAAAAATTAAAAAAAAAAAAAAAGAAATACAAATTCACCAAGAAATTCATGGTGTCAGGACAACTTCAGCCCCACTTTCTTCAGTTTCTTGGAGTTTAACACCACTACCTCAAATATTACTAAAAAGGAAAATACTTCATGTGGTATAAAGCTGAAGAATTTTCCTTGCATTTAAGACCACCTAACATCAAACAGTGAGCATGGCAGATCCAGTGAGAAGACATTTAGACTCTGTCTTACCCCTCACTGGTCCCATCTCTAAAGTAGGGATAATATTGTCCAATACTCAACAGATCTGAGTACTTAACTTCTCTGAGCCTTAGTTTCTTCATCTGTGAAAGAGGATTGCTCATCTGTGAAATGGGGTTGGACAGTGATACACAGTCAGCACCCGGGGGGTGTTTTATTATTGCTGCAGCTACCACAGTACCCGGCATTCAGCAAATACCAATTTTACAACACTCTGACCATTCGCAGTTAAAAATAAATACACTTTTTACAATTCTAGGGCATTTCTTTAAAGAGAACTCTTTAAAAGATAAATGGTCTAAGAGGGACTCATGTAGCAATGCTTTTCCGAGAACTGGAAAGAAACAACGTGAATGCACAGCACTTGCACCCGCCCCGCCTTGGCCTTGGCCAGGATTGAGAATGCCAAGCCAGCTCCGTGCCTGCTGCCCCCGGGGCCCGGCTGATCAGGGCGCCAGGGCAGGGCTAGCCTCTGTTGACAGTGTTTCCCTTGTGCTGGGCTCCCATAAAGGCAGCATTATCAAAGGTCTTTCGCGTGGCAGCCTCCTTGGGCTCCAGCTACCAGTACCATTCATCTGGCAACAATGGGGTGGGCTCTTGCTCTGGGTAAATTGCCTTCCACTTCAACCGATGAATTTGTGTGGGCTCTCTTTTGTTTGTTTTCCAGGGGTCAGGATTAATGAACGCTCTCGTGCTTCTGCTGCGGAGGAAAGAAGGAAGGAAAAAGATGCAGAGAAGGAGAGGCCTGGGGAAATACTGAATCCCGTAAGGAAATATATTAATTAGAATTACAGTTTCTATTTGCATCACACACAACGAAAATGGCTATGGAGCTGGATCTGAATAGGGACCAGAGTCACATTAATAAAGAAATAATGAAAAGATTCATTTTTCATGTTCCATTCATAGCCACAGCTTAACTAAGGTTCTGATTTGGAGAGACTGGTTCTCAGCGCCCTATTTATTTTTTACCCATTACTGATTTTTTAGTCCTTAGAATTTTGTGGCCTGTGTGGAAAGAGGAATTCCCCCCTGCTGCCCCCGACACATGCTGTAGGTCCTACATTCTATTTGACTAGTTTTGTATATAATAGTACTATATTAGATAGCCCTACGCTTTTTTGAGCTGCATTCTAACCAGCAGCACATTAAAAATCAAACAATGTCACCTACTTGAGCTTCCCCAATAAATAATTCATAATAAGAAAATGCAAATGTATTACCAACTTCAAGAAAAACTACCCATGCGTCATAAAAGCCCCAAACACTACAGTAATTTATGTGGCATGTTACTTACCGCTCCTTGGTACATTTCAATTTCCTTTTCCCCAAAATATGGCATCTGCTTGAAAGGGTTGACTGAGATTAATACGGATCCTATATATGTCTGAATTTATATCCAGTTAAGGTCCAGCATTAATCTTCACAGCTACACACTTTTCAAATTAAGTAACCAGATGTTATCAGGAATTCATAATGACTGTACAAACAAAAAGCTCAAATACCTGTTTTCTAAAAGATTACAAATAAAGACAAAAGCAATTACCAACTAGCTCGGGTGCTGATCCTCTCCAGGAAGGGTAATGAGATAAATTACCAAGGTGCTACTAAAAGAAACCATTATTTTAAATGAATTGAAGCACATCCTTTTAAGACAGGGGACAGGTATGGCTAGGAAGCAAAACAAAACAAAACAAAACAAAACAAACAAAACAGAAGTGACCTAGAAGTGAAAGCAAGTATCATTACTTTTCTCGAATAGCATTTTTTCCTGGAACTTTCATATCTCTTAGGTATACTAAAAATGTATTTACTCACTCATTTAACAAATAGATACACGATGGACTGAACAGTCCTACTCCTTAGAAGCTATGGCGAACTGAGTTATAGCTATAAGACATTATTTGGAGCAGAAAATTACAAGCCCACACAGATTAGGTTTAGGGAAAAAAGGTATTATTTCTACATGGGGAATCTAGGAAGGCCTTTCAGAAGAGAAAGTGTTCATACTGACTCTTAACTGTTTTATACAACACATTATAATGTGCCCAAATACATGAAGTATTATTATAACATAAAAATATTTCCATTTATTTATTCAATAATTGACTAGTTTGAATTGGGCATCTACAATATGCCAGGCACTGTTCTGGATACTGGGGATACAGCAATGAACAAAATAAAAGAGATCAAACTCTCTGCCCTCTTAGAGGAAATAAAAATTATTTAAAAAAAAAGAGAGAAAACAACAACAAACACGACAAAATACACATTCTTGAAGTGCCTGGGTGGCTCAGTCGGTCATCGTTCGTGGGTTCGAGCCCTGCATTGGGCTCTGTGCTGTCCACCTGCTTTGGATCCTCTCCCTCCCTGTCTGCCCTTCCCCCCCCTCCTCAAAAATAAACATTAAAAAAAATACACATACTCAAAATTATTTATTTTAATCAAGGATTTCAAAATGTTTGGAAATTTCGCAGTTAAAGGTGTGAAGTGATGACATTTCCTCCCCCAAGGGGGCATTTATATATTTATATGATAGGACCTGGGTGTCAAACAGAGTAGCACAGGGAATCCAGTCAGATAACCCGGTTCTACTCTGACCTTGGGCAGGTCACATCTCTAAGCTGTGGCTAATGGGTGATGGCATACAATAGCATCTACCTGATAGGCTTATTATGACAATTAAATAAACAGAATAGGGGCACCTGGGTAGCTCAGTTGGTTCAAAGTCCGACTTCGGCTCAGGTCATGATCTCGCAGTTTGGGAGTTCGAGCCTCTCAACCGGCTCTGTGTTGACAGTGCAGAGCCCACTTTGGATCCTCTCTCTCCCTCTTTCTCTACCCTTCCCTTGCTCATGAGCTCTCTCTCTCAAAAATAAATAAAACATTAAAACAAACAGTATAGAAAGTTCAGCACTTTCCTTAATTTGTATACCTTGAGATGCTTCTTCTGTCGCATATTAATGTATTTGAGACACAGCTTTGGTGTTATTACTGAACACAAATGAGCCAAGTGTGGGATAGATCAGATAATATTTGAAAATTAATATTTACATGTGAAGGTGAACATATGGAAAGATTCCATTGCCATTCTGCTCCCCTTTTCACTGACCAGAAAGATCTTCAGGCTTGAAAGGGCTGACCATGAAAGAGTAGGAGAGAAGACAGGGCTGTTTTAAGAGCACACCCAGATGCAACCAGTACTACTCAGAGGGCAATTCTTGGCACTAAGAGCAAAAGGGAATGAAATGGTGAAATCCTAACTGAAAATCACTAAAGAATCATGGAAGAATGGCCGAGAGCAAATGTGGTTCCAAGTGCCAAAGCCAGGTGAGGCCAATGACAGATTACTAGCTGTCTGCTTGTTTTTGAGGCAAAACCGAGAACAGATTGATTTATTATCAAAATTATTAAGCAGACAAGAAATGCCCATGATGTTGTAACGAAGAGCCAGTAAGCGTTGGTAATATGAACACTGATCGAACACAAACACATTTACACTTACACAGTACTAATTAAACTCCTAACAACAACCCTATCACTCTTTCACTCCTATTTTACAATGAGGAAACTGAGGCATAGAGAAATTTAAAAACTTGCTCAAAGTCACAGGCTAGTAAGTGGCAGAGCTATGATTCAAACCCAGGCAGTCTGGTTCTAGAGTACACAATCTTAATCAATAAGCTATAATGTTTTTCTAAGTTAGCAAGTATTGTTGCTATTGTTGATATTGTTATTACTACTGGTAGCATTGCCAGATACAATAAATAAAATACAAACACCCAGTTAAATTTGAAGTTCAGATAAACAATGAATAATTTGTTTTACATATGTATATATATTTCCTCCCCAATAGGCATGCCCCAAGCAATTCTTTAGACACGTTTATACTAAAAAGTAATTTGTTATTTATCTCAAACTCAAGTTTAACCATACATCCTGTATTTTATCTGGCAATCCTAAGTTGGTAGCACAAGAATTTCATGCAGGATGGATGGGGGTTCAGTTAGAGGGCTCTATGATCTCTTATAACTTTAGATTCTGTGATTCTTTGGGGACTCGAAATTATATAACCCTTAGTTGATTTTTTTTTTTTTTAAGTATCCTTTCCACATGGTAGGAACTAAATCAAAACTCAGTGAATGTGGTTTGGCCTTCATTCTGAGTCTCATGCTAAACAAATATAGTAATTCTTTTTTTTTTTTTAAGTTTATTTATTTATCTGGGGTGGGGGCAGGAGAGAAGGAAAGAGAGAGAGAGAGAGAGAGAGAGACAGAGAGAGAGAGAGACAGAGAGAGAAACCCAAGCAGGCTCTGCACCACCAGTGTGGAGCCCCACACAGAGCTCAAACTCACAAACCCATGAACTGTGAGACCACAACCTGAGCTGAAATCAGGAGTCAGAGGACTAACCGACTGAGCCACCCAGGTGCCCCCAAGATATAGTAATCCTTATGGTAAACCCAATTTTCAAGAAATACAGCACTGCTACAACCATCCTCATTTCAGAAGAGGAGATGTCTAGATCTACATTTAACTCAAGGTGAAAACAAACTTGACCAAGTATGTACGATCTGTGCCTGGCGGAAGGTGAGCCTTCCCTTAGTTGTAAAAGGAATGCTGTGAATGCAACCTGTCCTGGACGGATCGGCACTACACACAAAGAAGAAAGAGCAGCCTGAGGACATAAGCTAAAAATATCAGCTCCCCACCAACCCCTTCCTACCCAAGCCCTTGGCCATCTGATGAACATGTATTGGGCTGCATGAGAGCTCCTATAGGAACCAATACTTTTTTTACTCTCAATAATAAGCTATGTGAAAAGACATCCTAGAATGTCTTGATTTTCACTAAGTAGTGTACATAAATTCTGGTACGAAGACACAGAAAGGGGTGCCAGGATGGCTCAGTTGGTTAAGTGACCAACTTCAGCTCAGGTCATGATCTCACAGTTTGTGGGTTTGAGCCCCATGTTGGGCTCTGTGCTGACAGCTCAGAGCCTGGAGCCTCATTCAGAGTCTGTGTCTCCTTGTCTCTCTGTCTCTCTCTCTCAAAAATAGATAAAACATAAAAAAAGAAGAAGACACACAAAAAAAACCCTCTTTCGGATCATTCTAGGCCAATCCTGAATCAGTGACGCAGTAGAAGAGGGAAAACTATAGCTATTCCCTCACTCTTCTGGTAGGGCTCTCAAGGTCAATATTATTTGGGAGGATTCCTGAAAAATAAAGTTTGGTTTGAGATGAATAATGCAGGTCAGGCCTGGCTAAGTAGCCACAAACTTAACTAAATCAAAAGAATTAAGAGAAGAGAATGAATTTAGTATTTGAAGAAAACAAACATAATTTAGTTATTCCAGGTGTGAATTTGGCCTAATTTGTTTATCTGATGGCCTGCCCTGCTTTTCACCTGGTCTGCAGAGACCCCAGCTGCTTCTCTGAGATCACAGGTCTCCTACTAGGTGGGGCCCTTTCCCAGACAACTCAAGTACTCACTCCCACTCTCTACTACATAATTCAGGTGTGCCTTTGGAAAAAGCTGCTCAGCAGAATCAGAATGTAACCTGTCTCCACCCACATAATTTATGGTTGTGAAGGTGTGGCCCAAGGTTAATTTTTAAAATGTATGGAGACATGAGGCTATGATACTAGATACACACACATACTAACCAGACAAAATAAACATCCTCTTATCCAACAGAATGTACAAGACAGATGAGACCCAATAGATCTTTAATTGACTGGTTTCCAAACACTTGTGGATCCATGAGTTTTCACTGTTCTGCAGCAAGGATGACAGAAAGACAAACACGCCTTGAATCTTTTATGAAGCTCAATACATTGACTATATAGGATTGTTTTTTACTTGTAGATAATTTCCTTTCTACTTCTGGGGTGTTAAAACATTCTTTTTTTTTTTTATTATTATTAACTTTATTTTTAAGTAATCTCTATACCCAACATGGGATTCAAACTCATGACCTTGGGATCAAGGGTCACATGTCTTAATGGCTGAGACAGCCAGGTGCCCCCTAAAATATTCTTTTTTTTAATGAAATGTGATGATAGCACAGGTTCTGTAAGGTTTTTTTTAAGGGTCTTATAGACAAAGTTGAGTTTTAACTTAAAAAAAATTTTTTTTAATAGCAAGTGAATTTGCAAAACCACCCACACTGATCTAGTTGACTTCCCTGGATACATCACTGAAGAGAACAGGGAGGTGAGGTGACTTCCTGAAGCCACATACGTGGAACTTGAGCCTCTGGCTCCGGCCACCAGACCAACATCCATGTCACCGCAGCATGCTGTCACCGCAGCAGGCTGTCACCGCAGCACGCAGCCCCCTCCGTGTGAGCTGACTGCCAAGGGCCAAACCTCGGAACTACTGCACTGCCTTAGGCTCCAGTTGCTCTGACACAAAAGTCTCAACCAATTCAAGGGCTGAAAATGCCAAACACACTTGAGTGTGGTCTTTGAGTAAAAACAAGTTGGGAGAAAGTTGGAGCAAATGAGCGGGGAGCGCTTTGCACAGAACTATTTTCATCAGCGAAGTGGCTATAAATGATGTCTCGCCAAGCACAAGAGCCCATACTGCGGTGTTTTCCTCATATATTTTAGAATGTAATTTTAAGAAGTGTGGCAATATTCAGGAAAAAAACGGATGGTAAATTAAACCTTCCTTGTCTTAGGATAAATAGCTGAAAATTATGGGGTTTTATTGGTAAACAGTGTTTGCATTTTCTAAGTAGATTTTTTTTTTCCTAATGTAGAACAAAGAAATGTGCATTCAGCCTGAATGCATTAACGACTGATTGTTCCAAACGCTGACCTTCAATACAAAACAATGTGCTGGTATTAGATGTAGAGGAGGCAAAAGAAGCAATTTTATAACTTAACATGAAATTGAATCGCTTCTTGCCTTAACTATTAAGCTTAGGAGAGAGAGGGAAGAAATCCTCTTATTTAAAATAATGTTACTCTATCATAATAATATTCCCATAGCACTGAACTGATAAAGGATGCTTTTATCACTTAGCAGAGGAAAAGATCTGCAGTTAGACACTCGCTATGACGTCATAAACGTCCAAAAGAATCCTCAAAGTCGAAAGCTGCTCTGTGCTCTTGATGGAAAGCACACGGATGCTGAGTTTCTCGTGTATTGAGTGGGTAGAGATTTCTAAAACACGAAGCCATTAATGGTCAACTAACTCATTTCCTTGGTAGAACACACGATTAGTCAGCCATTGATTCAAAGACATCAATTCAAAGGCTTGTAATCAGCCCCCTCTGTGTGAGTCATTTAAAAATTCTGCTGTCTGAATATAAAAAGCAAGTCTTGATAGTTAACAGATTTTCAATGAATACTTAATACAATGCACCATGCCAAGAATTATGCAGGAAACTAAGAAATATATGAGGCAAGATGATGCTATTTCTGTTAAAATTAACAAGAAAGCATGCATACACACACACAAACATTTATATGTTAGACATGCAGATATATGTTAATATATATGTTAAGTTGAAAATTATACACCAAGAGGTTATGGTGGGATTATAGATGACAATCTCCTTTCTGGTTGACTGCATTTTATAAGTCATGTTAAATGAACGTATTGCTTTAAAGAGTTTTTGTTTTTATTTTTAGAAGATATATGAAACAAAATTCCCATCCTCAAAGAGTTTCTGGTGTTTTAGGGGTAAATGATCTTTATACGGAGAAGGGTGAGTCTGTCCAGTTTGACAATGGACTGACTGCTGATAACCACTAACATCATTTTTTTTCTTACTCAGCTTTTCAAACAACCATGTTTCTATGTAAATAACATAATAAGCTAAGCTCATGTACTAAGAACATGGAAAATAATTTGCTCAACTATATTCAGTGGAAATTCTCCTTTAATGGGCTTGTCGATAAACCAATCTCCCATTTAAAACACTTTCTATGGTAAAATGCATTTGAATTTTCAATAAGCAACTTTAAAGTTGAATATTTGGAACATAACTCAGAAATACGGAAGGAACACACACACTTGCCTTAGTATATGGTAATAACTAATGCTTTCTGTTACTTACTGCGTTCATTATTTCATTTAGCCCTACAATAGGCTCATCTGGGAGATTTCATTATGCTCAGGTGGGAGATTTCATTACCACCCCCATTTCACAGGTGAGGAAATCAAGGCACACAGATCCCAAAACTCGCATCAGGTCACCAGGCCCATGCAGAGTAAGGTTCGAAGCCAGGCAGTCCAGAACCACGTCCTGCACCCAACTCTTAATCACCTGCCAGTTCTCAGGGGGCACGGGACTTGCACACAGAAGTGTTATCATGATGATAAGCCCAGATTAAAGTCAGCATATGTCAATTTTTTGACCAAATAAAATGAAAACTTCCCACTGAATACAACTGCTTCCATACAATTAAAGCAAACTCTGCAGAGATGTCTAGCAGTCAGCAAACTGTTTTCTCTAAAGGGCCAGAAAGTAATTATTTTAGGTCATATGGTCCTGGTGCAACCGCTCGCCTCTGCCTTTGTAGCACGAAAGCAGGCACAGACAATAAGTAAAAGCATGAGCGCGGCTACATTCCAAGAAGACCTCTGTTACAAAATGGGCAGTGGGCAGATTTCATTTGCAGGCGGTAGGCTGCCTCTCCCATCAAGATGCTATTATTAACGTAGCTAACGAATCCAAATATATCTGCTAATGCTTAAAAAGCAGGGGTTTAGGGTTTTAACGATCCAGACATTTGGTAAGATTTCCTATGGTAAATAAGAATGGCCCAGTATCGGTCAGAGCCATCCAAGTGTCTCGGAATAGTTTTGTTCATTAGTACTGCTGGTTAAAGACCTGGTGCGTTGAACTCCCCACTCACCGATGAGGAGACAAGCAATCCCTGCAAAAGTATTGTTGCATATGTATGGATGTTTTTAACTAAGAGTCACACGAGTGGTATAAATAACAAACAGAAGCTACAGAAATCTATACCTCCTCAAGCTTTGGGGGTTAAAATCTAAAATGTATGCAACAGCAGGCGTAAACACTCCCCCATCACTGGTCCTCCGTAACACCATGGCTTCAGAAGTCACCAAGTGCACCACAGTTGAACCTTCTGGCGCTGTCATATAGATTTCCACCGATCTTTACACATCTACAACCAACTCTCCAAACGTTTCATGAAGAGATGTTTGTACAGTTGCACCAAACAACATCGAATCCTGTAGGAACTTAGGCAAATATCACAGTTCTCTGTGTATAATGAAGCCAACACACATTTAAATCAAATTTCCATTCTGAATTTTTTAAAGCCCTATAAAAAATGGCATCTGGCAAGCTAAAATTGAAACATAAACAACAACTCAAGAATGTCAGGCATTTTCAATAGTTGATCTTCCCATCTCATGTTTCCATTAGTAAACATAAGAATGCAGAAAAACTGGCAAAATTGCCTATTTTTTGCATGAGGCAATCTTTTTAAAACCTTTTAGGTCCGGACTGAACTGTCTGCTTTGCAATTAAGGAGATCTATGGACAGAATTCTCTGCAGACCTGGACTTTCCCTAGGAACGGCGGAGGTTTTAGATGCCACGTGCCTGGCTAAAGCACGTCAAAGGTACAGTGCCATCGATTGAAACAGACGAATACTGGCTGCATCTTTATTTTGTGAAATGCCAGGAAGATGATTTAGCATCATGCCCTTCCCACAACCTCAACGAAGAGGCAGAAAAGAACAAAACCGCGTTCTGAAATGGTGAAAATGACTCGAGGACCTCGTGTCCATTCAGAATTTCAGATGGATCTTCTCACCCTAGGAACCAGCCACCTTTTCCTGGGGATATGGTCATCTTACTCAGAAAAGCCCAAAGAAGCTCATAAAGGATACAAAAATGTAGTCATCCATGTATCTCTTCTTTAGATTCTCCACGATGGCATTCTCTGTGATCTTGGAGAGCAGGACCATGTCATCCACACCACTGTGCTTAACATTGTGGCTCTGCCAGTGGTACCGGTAGGCACCTTTGCTTCCCTGTGAACATAAAAGACACAGTTCTTAGGATGGTTTATTTTCTCCCAGTGTAAAAAAAAAAAAAAAAAATCACTAAGTTCCCATATCTTCTTCATATCAAATGAAGCAGAACGAGCAGAACAAAGATTTTTTAGCAATAGCTCTGGATTCACATTGCAGGTTGGCCACCTACAAACTAAGAGAAGTGGGGAAAAGTCATCTAGGCTCACTGTATCACGGAAGCTTCTCTTTTCTCATTTGTAAAATGGGAGAAATTAAGACTCACTCCATAGAGTCGCTGTAAGGATTGAATAAAAAAAACACACATCAAGTGCCAAAGAGTATCTAGAGTATAACACAATAAGTGATTCAATAGTCTCCAATAATTCCTCAACCTTATCGTTTTGTAGAAGTAACAATAAAATAAGCAATGGAAGAGAAACTTTCTGGATTTGTTTTGCAAATTATATGACAGAGCTCAGAAGCAGAAGCAATATGTATCACACAATGGCTAGGTCATATTGTCGTAATTTCTCAAATCATCTAAATCATTCTCCCTCCAAAAACGTATCACTGTCAATGTAATATTGGCCTCCAAGATTCAGAAGATAAGCTACATTAAAAAAAAATTTTTTTTTAATGTTCATTTATTTTTGAGTGAGAGAGAGAGAGCAAGCGCACCAGCGGGGGGAGGGGCAGAGAGAGAGGGAGACACAGAATCTGAAGCAGGCTCCAGGCTCCAGGCTCCAAGCTTCAGCACAGAGCTAGATGCGGGGCTCGAACCTATGAACTGTGAGATCATGACCTGAGCTGAACACTCAACTAACTGAGTCACTCGGGCCCCCCTAGATAAGCTACGTTTTGATGGCTGATCACTGCTATATAAACAAGGAAATGGATAAGACAGCCTGAACGTGATTATAGAACGTGCTGTGGACAGGAGGACCTCATCCAGCCCCGTGGCCTCCTTGGAGAGATGAAGCTATAGCCCTTGTAGGTTTACTGGGTTTACAACATAACACCAGGGGTGGCCTCTGAACACCCTGTGGCCTGCAGGACTTCTTTCACTCGGCACTTCTGTAGTGGGATCCCCCATATGTTTAGCTATGTGCCAAGTCCTGCAGATGGGAACACCACGGTGGTTGCACTTGGGAACCTCATGTCCATTGAAGGACACCTAGCAATTGACAGAAGTAATTCACGCAACAGTCAATATGTAAACACATGTCAAATGGGTGTTTCAGGAAGGTGGAAGACTTTTTGGCCCGAGGAAAGACAGAAATAATTTCCTGGGGAAGGTGCCATTGGTAGTGGATCTAAAATATGTTGAATTGCCAGAGAAGACAAGACAAGGAGGGCTATCCATTATAATCTACATTCACTAGGGCAAGAATCTAATACATATGAGATAATGGCAAATGAGACATGACAAGATACTAGAAGATCCTTCATTCCCTTCACAACCTTCATGCATCCTACTGAAGATGTCATGTGCTGCACAAGTGTGGTGAACATTGACCTGAGTGAGACAGTTCCTGCCCCCTTCCTGGGAGTTCGCTTTTTGGGGAGTTTAGATAAAGGAGAGAAAAATTCTGAATAAGGGTTATCTAGAAAGGCCACATGTTCAGATGTCAAAACTGGAATGAGAAAGGGTTCTTCAAGAGAAGGGAGGTGGAAGGAAACCAGATAAATACCATTTTAAATTTCACTTTTAAAAATTGTATAATTTGGGGCACCTGGGTGGCTCAGTCAGTTAAACGTCTGACTCTTGATTTCTGTTCAGTTCAGGATCTCACAACTCGTGAGCGTGAGCCCCACATCAGTCTCTGTGCTGGCAGTGCTGAGCCTGCCTGGGATTCTCCATTTCCCTCTCTCTGCTCCTCCTCGCTTGTGCTCTCTCTCTCTCCCTCAAAAATAAATAAACATTAAAAAATAAATAAAAATTGTTAAACGTTTTCTCTGTAGGAGTCATGGGTCCTTCATAAGAGCAATTCTAAGAGGCTCCGGCAAAAGCAGTTTTGAAAACCAGCCAGGAAAGACCTACCACAGGAAAGGTGTACCAGTGCCATGGGCTCAAGCCCTCTGGAAGCCTTAGCATCCATGTTGCCTTACAGAGGGACTGTTTATAGGATATATTTGGCTTTTGCAGAACCACATGCAGCATCAGTTCTACAAAACTACCACAGACCTCACCACACCTTCTTCCCCTTGTGGCAAAGCAGAAAGAGAGAAAAGGCACTGGCTGCAGCATGACTCACTGGATCTCAATCAAATGGCCACAGTCTACTTCCAACCACATGAAGATTCCCGGCCACTCCTGCCCTGCCTCTGCCCTCCCTTCTTTTCTTGATCATTCTTCTGGGCACTCACAAAAATCATTCTGCATAGAAAACTAAGGCCTCAGAGTAACTAACTGTTAGGTATGTTTGTTTCCTTTTAACCCCAATAAATATTCACCTACTTAAAAGAGGCCAAAAATTTTATTTTCTTTTTGAAAAATGTAAGCACAGTTTAATAATACAGAAGGGGTAGTAACAAGCTGTTATTTAACTTCTGCAAAGGACAAGAAGTGGACGGGTTCTGTGTCATAGTGTATGTGTTGGTACTGTTCCACAGAAACTGCCTTCTCAAGGTAACCCAAGTTGGCCTTTGTATCCAACCCAACTGTCTTTTCTGTCTCACTGCAGAGAGATAGATGGCTAGGTCTGTCCCATTTCAGAGGCAGTGTCCTCCTTCTGATGGCAGTTATTCCTCAGTAAAACAGGGCTCCTTGTGGAGTTCATTGACTCTCATAGTCTCAAACATCCCTTGACACTGAAGAGTCCCATGTCTGGGTCTCCAGACCTCTACCTATAAAAGGGTAAGGAACCAACAATGAGACTGGGCAGTTACCAGAAGCAAAGCAATCAGCCATCTGATTTGTGGTGGCCGCTCCTCTTACTATTGCAATCAACTCTACGAGAGAGGGGTTGACATTCCCGTGCTATGTAGACACAAACTGACTTCCCAATTAGTTTACAGTAAAGGCAATGAGTGAACCCAACTCTCTATGATTATGAACTCATTCAGACATCACGGTTTCTCCACATGGCCTCCCCAGTGACTTGACTGGATATTTCCACCTGTTAAGTTTAAGATGGCCACAGAAGGATAGACTGTCTCCAAAACTGATTTCATCATTAAAAAGACCTATAATCTTTGTTAATGATGACTTTCTCTTAGTATCAAAGACTAAAACACTCAAGTTATTTTTTATTTGATGTATTTCCTATATCCATTTGGTCACAAATACCTTCCCCCCCCCCTTCACCTCTGTGTCCCTTCTTCCCCCAGGCAATGATATGTGAACCCATTTAACTTTCACAATCATCTCCCATACTGTATATTATCATCTCTATTTTACTGATGAAAAAACTGTAAATTGCCCAAGGTCTCTAACTGTAACTTTTCTGTCTTTAACACTCCCCACCTTACTATGCCTTTCTCCTTCCTCTTCCCCCATAACTGCCTCCCTGCCCTACCCCCCCCAAAAAAAAATTCAGAGGAGGTAGAGGGAGGGAGGAATGGTAGCTGGAAAGGGTGGGAACAATCAGAACCTTTGGGGGACAACTGACCTGCTTGGATTGTCAAGGACAAGACCAGAACGCACCTGATAGGTAAATGAAAGCTGTGCTAGGGTTGGGCTAGGGCTGGGGTAGGGCCGGTCTGGGCAGTTCTAACACAGGGTGAGAACTTTATCAGGGAAACTGGAAACCAAACATGGATGCATGGGCTCTCACCCTACCCCAGAGAAGATTGAAAGTTCCCCACAGTGGAACAGAAAACTGTTTTCTGTTTATCTACAGGGACATCAGAGTTTAATCATAGCATGACTTTTCTAGATGTCTTTCTTGGAACATAGCTGTGGACAGGGAACAAGTGGGGAACACAGTGGGAAATGATTATCATTTTACAATCCTAGACAATGTTCCCAGAAGCAGAGGCTGACAGTGACCTTCAGACCACAAACTACGGTGCTACGATTGCAAGACCATGAATTGTGTTTCTGGCGCAAATAACCTTGACCCCTTTGCTTCTTCCTCCCACTCCTGACTGGGAGGGAATGGGCAGGACTGGCCGCCATGCGTGCTGGGAGGAGGAAGCACAGCGATGGGGGCTTCCCTATCTGTTTGAGGAGGGCCATTTTCCTCAGATGGCAAACTCCTGGCTTGTCAGGATATGCCCTCAACAAGAGTCAACTTCCTTCTCTTCTGTTGGCTTCTTTTTGGGTGGGCAACTTCTTTTTGTTCCCGTACTAAAAACAGGAATATTTTATTTTATTATTTTTTTTTTTAATTTTTTTTTCAACGTTTTTATTTATTTATGGGACAGACAGAGACAGAGCATGAACGGGGGAGGGGCAGAGAGAGAGGGAGACACAGAATCAGAAACAGGCTCCGAGCCATCAGCCCAGAGCCTGACGTGGGGCTCGAACTCACGGACCGTGAGATCGTGACCTGGCTGAAGTCGGACGCTTAACCGACTGCGCCACCCAGGCGCCCCAAAAACAGGAATATTTTAAACAAGTAGGGGTACCTAGCAATTACACTTGCAACAGTCCTTGCAGAGTGTGGTGTCATTGTACAAAGGAAGGAATGTAGCTGCTGATATGCCAGCTAGGAAATAAAAACAAAAATAATGATGATGATGATGATAAAAGTTACTGTTTGCCCTGACAATTATTATAAATTATGAGTGAGATATTTCCCATTAGATAAGGATTGAGCGCAGACTTTCTTGGGCCCATATTTGGTTTCTAATGATGATTCAGTTTATTAAAAAGCAATGGAGGGGAGCCTGGGTGGCTCAGTTGTTTAAACATCCAACTTCTGATTTCGGCTCAGGTCATGATCTCACAGTTCATGACATGATCTCATGATTCCGCGCTGACAACATGGAGCCTGCTTGGGATTCTCTTTCCCTTTTCCTGTGCCCCTCCCCCTGCTCACATTCACGCATGAGTGCTCTCTCTCTCTCTCTCT